CTTTCACCTTTACTTTAAAAGTTTCACCTTTTTTATTAATTTGTGTTCATGTCTGCTTTGAAGCTCTGAGATCCTGAAAGAAATCTATGGCGGAAGCAAGACGATTTAGCCCCAATCATGAATTAGGTGAAGTGAGATTTTTTTATATTTGGGTCAAATCATTATCGGATTAAATCTTTTCGATCTATTTGGTATCACTCATAGTCATCCAAGTTTCTGTTTTTATGTATGGAATCTTAATCCAAAGTTTTTTTTAATATCCATGATGAATATTGATTGGTCTGAGTGATGATTTGTTCTTCTGTAAGCGTATATTATCTGAATATTCTTTTTGTAAAGTTTTTTTTTGTTTCCTTGATTTGGTAACTAAGTTCATCGCTTACTTTAGTCTGCTTATAATACTTATCCAAGTTGAAAATTGAATCTAATCTAAATCTTGTTTTAGTCTTGAGCATCATTTAAGTGCTTTACTTTAACTTCTTAATGACTCTTATTTCTTATGTACTTTTTTTAGGGTTGTATTTTTAGACCTGTAAAATCTTCAAGTGACCTTTTGCAACTTTAGCCATATGTGTCACTGAAGGTTTTAGCAGCTAATCTTGTGTTTGTTTTACTATAATATTAGCTGCTTCTTGATAGGAAGTTGACTTTTTTGCTACTAGATCTTCAGCTACTACTCGAATGTGTAACGTAGAGTGTCTTTTGTGAATCTAAGTGTTTTAAGGATGACATCTTAATTGTACTCTTTTTTTTTTTGTCTACAGATGTTGAACAAATACTCTCAGAAGCAAGAAACCGATGGCTTCGTCCTCCTGAAATCTGTGAAATTTTACAGAATTACCAAAGATTTCAAATATCTACCGAGCCACCTACTACACCATCAAGTAAATTTCAGTGTAGAATCCATATGAAACTCAAGAGTTGTAAGAGTGATGCTCATGCTGAATTATTGTCTCATTTCAGGTGGATCTGTTTTTCTGTTTGATCGAAAGGTGCTCAGGTACTTCAGGAAAGACGGTCACAATTGGAGGAAGAAAAGAGATGGAAAGACAGTGAAAGAAGCTCATGAGAGGCTCAAGGTAGTAAATAAAACATATTTCATGGTTCTTTGAGAAGCCTTGTTTGGTAAATAAAACTTATTTGTTTACCTTGCGATTCCTTGATCATGAATATCCATGCAGGCGGGAAGCGTTGATGTTCTGCATTGTTACTATGCGCATGGACAAGACAATGAAAACTTTCAAAGACGCAGTTATTGGATGCTTCAGGAGTAAGCTTATTATAACAACATTTGCTTGTGAACTTAATTTATTATGATAGATTCCCTCTCTCTCCCCTCTTATTTGTTAATTCCATCATGAGTTATATTACTGAAAGGCTAGTTTGTCTTCGAAGTTGACGAGAACACCTTTGCTAAGTCTCTTGTTGTTATTGTGTTTGTTACTACTAATGCAGAGAGCTTTCCAACATTGTTTTTGTCCATTATCTCGAAGTTAAGGTTTGACCCCATCCTATTATTTGTTAATTACTCCTCCCCATTATTTTTCTTTTCACGGAAATTGATGCTTTGAGAGTGAAATTTGTAAATGAACCAGGGTAGTAGGGTTTCTACTTCTTATAATCGGATGCAAAGGTCTGAAGATGCTGTTCGGTCTCCTCAAGAAACTGGGGAAATCTTTACCAGTGAGCGTGATGGTTATGCTTCTTGCAGCATTAATCAATATGATCACAGTAATCATTCACAAGCTACTGACTCAGCAAGTGTCGATGGTGTTCACACTCCAGAACTTGAAGATGCTGAATCAGGTTCGTCTTCTTTCATACATGATGTTGCATCTACATACTGAAGAGGCCTTATTTAAATTGTCTCTTGTCTTATGCATATTACACACATTCATTCTGCAGCATACAATCAGCAGGCGAGCTCCATAGTTTACTCACATCAAGGATTTCAGCAGCCTGCAACTACTGGTTTTGATTCTTACTATCAAATGTGTTTGACGCGTAAGTTGTTGGTAACCTGGTGCTATGCTCTTTTTTTTTCTGTCCAGTAATTACCATCTGATACTTACAAACGGCATATGGTATTTGGTTCTATAGCAGCCAGGGGTGGTTATCAGAAAGAGCTTCGTACAATCCCCGTAATAGATTCTTCAGTTATGGTAGACAAGAGCAAACCTATCAACGGTCCTGGAGTAGCAAATGGGCTAAGGAACAGAAAATCCATTGATTCCCAAACCTGGGAAGAGATTCTGGGAAATTGTGGTTCTGGAGCTGCTGAAGGTTTACCTATGCAGCCTAACAATGAGCATGAAGAAGTGTTGGACCAAATACTCCAAAGCTGCTCTTTTACTATGGAAGATTTTGCCAGTCTACAAGAGTCCATTGTGAAAAGCCAGGTATACACAATTTCTAAGTGTATTGTCTCAATTTTATATTCCTCTTGCTCAATTGTACTGCTGAATATTTTCTATGCTTCGTTTCTAATTGATAAGGTATGTATCCATTGAGTATCTGAACTATATTTTTTTTTTTAAACGTCCGCAGAATCAGGAGTTAAATTCAGGAGTTGCATCTGATCGTACCGGGTGGTTCCAAGGACAAGGTTTACTCTGCAATCAGCTTGTTTCTCTAAAGGTTGACATTTACTTGTTCATAAAAGCTAACCTTTTTTTGGTGTCAACTGCAGATATGGAGCTAAATGCTATAAGCAATTTAGCTTCAAATGAAAAAGCTCCATATCTATCTACGATGAAACAGCATCTGTTAGACGGTGCACTGGGCGAAGAAGGTTTGAAAAAGATGGACAGTTTCAATCGCTGGATGAGCAAAGAACTTGGAGATGTTGGTGTTATCGCTGATGCAAACGAGTCTTTTACTCAGTCCAGTTCGAGAACGTACTGGGAAGAAGTTGAGAGTGAGGATGGTTCCAATGGCCACAACTCTAGGAGGGACTTGGATGGATACGTTATGAGTCCTTCCCTCTCAAAGGAACAACTCTTCAGCATCATTGACTTCTCTCCAAGCTGGGCTTATGTGGGTTGTGAAGTGAAGGTAACCCTATTGATCAAAATTCATCCTTTTGGGGAGTCAAAAGATAGGTTTGTGCTTATTTTCTTTTGCAAAAAAATTAGGTTCTTGTCACTGGAAAATTCTTAAAGACTCGAGAGGAGGCTGAAATTGGCGAGTGGTCTTGCATGTTTGGGCAAACAGAAGTTCCAGCAGATGTTATAGCTAATGGTGTTCTCCAATGTGTTGCTCCTATGCACGAGGCTGGAAGAGTTCCGTTTTATGTAACATGTTCCAACAGATTAGCATGCAGTGAAGTGCGTGAATTCGAGTACAAGGTTGCGGAGTCTCAAGTTTTTGATAGAGAAGCAGATGAATCTACTACTATTGAAATTCTTGAGGCAAGGTTTATTAAATTATTGTGCTCGAAATCCGATTGCCTGAGCTCTTCTCTTTCCGGGAATGACAGTGATTTGTCCCTATTGAGCCAGAAGATCAGTTTACTGCTTTTCGAAAATGACGACCAGTTGGATCAGATGCTAATGAATGAAATCTCCCAAGAAAATATGAAAAACAACCTTTTGCAGGAAGCTCTGAAAGAAAGCTTACACTCATGGCTTTTACATAAGATAGCAGAAGGTGGAAAAGGTCCCAATGTGTTGGATGAAGGTGGCCAAGGTATATTACACTTTGCAGCTGCTCTTGGTTACAACTGGGCTTTAGAACCAACGATAGTCGCCGGTGTAAGCGTTGATTTTCGGGATGTAAATGGTTGGACTGCACTTCATTGGGCAGCTTTCTTTGGCAGGTGAGTCACATCTAGAAGGATTTCATTAGTTCATCTTCTTTTTCTTTGGTTGTTGGTATTAAAACGATGTTCTTTGCATATTCAGGGAGCTGGTAATTGGTTCTCTCATAGCTCTTGGTGCTGCTCCTGGAACTTTGACTGACCCGAATCCAGATTTTCCGTCAGGAAGCACACCTTCTGATCTAGCGTATGCTAATGGTTACAAAGGAATTGCTGGTTATCTCTCAGAATATGCCTTGAGAGCCCACGTTTCTCTGCTCAGTCTAAATGAGAGAAATGCAGAAACACCTCTACCAGCGGTTGAGACCGCTCCTAGCCAATCCAGCTCATCATTAACAGACTCGTTGACAGCTGTACGTAACGCTACTCAAGCAGCCGCTCGGATTCATCAGGTTTTCAGGGCTCAGTCTTTCCAGAAGAAGCAAATAAAAGAGTTTGGAGATAGAAAGTTTGGGATGTCGGAGGAGCGTGCTCTTTCCATGCTTGCTCCTAAAACACACAAACCAGGACGAGCACATAGTGATGATTCGGTACAAGCCGCTGCTATACGGATTCAGAACAAGTTCCGCGGTTACAAGGGAAGAAAAGAATATCTGATTACTAGACAAAGAATCATTAGAATACAGGTACGTAATGCTTTGATAAACCAATGTTCTTGATTCACATTATAGGTATACCGAAATTCTTAACGGGTTTAACTGGAAATGGGCAGGCTCATGTGAGAGGTTATCAGGTTAGAAAGAACTACAGGAAAATAATATGGTCGGTGGGGATATTAGAGAAGGTGATATTGCGTTGGAGACGGAAAGGAGCTGGTTTGCGCGGGTTTAAATCGGACGCGCTTGTTGATAAAATGAAAGATGGAACAGAGAAAGAAGAAGATGATGATTTTTTCAAACAAGGTAGAAAGCAAACAGAGGAAAGACTACAAAAGGCTCTTGCAAGAGTGAAATCAATGGTTCAATATCCTGAAGCTAGAGATCAGTACCGAAGATTGCTAAATGTGGTCAACGATATCCAAGAAAGCAAGGTAAGTAATATTATAGACTTGTAACTGCATTTTTCTTTTCAGAATCAGCAAAAGTGAACAATCTTGGTTCTTAAATCTTTTTGGTTCAGGTTGAAAAAGCTCTTGAAAGTTCAGAAGACGCAATATGTTTTGATGATGATCTGATAGATATTGAAGCATTGTTGGGAGATGATAATGACACATTGATGTTACCTATGTCGTCAACTATGTGGGCCTCTTGAAAAAAATTGAAGCTTATGTGAGAAAATGTGACAGTATTGACTTATGAAACTTGTAAATTCTTATGTAATCACTCATCATATTCTGTAACTGCATTCAGTGTTGACTAATTTATATGTTTGACTACATGAACATAAATAAATTTATAACCGAATAGTAACCTTTTTTAATTGATCTCGAAATGTTAAACCATGTGGAAGGGATATAATATAGAGGGAGGGAGATGAAGCTAGAGGAGAACAATGCAGAAACACCTCTAGAAGCAACCAAAAAAATCTTAGAAGAAACTAACTTCATCTTATTGCAGTTGCAGAGGCCTATAGTTTTTATGGCACTGGTTAATCATGCACCAGGCGACCCTCTTAAGATAAGTTACAAGCTTGCCGATATCTCGAAACAAGCTTTTCCTGCCATGTGGCTCTAAACGTATATACCCATGGTGTCAACCCGGGGAAGACCATCTACCTCCTGTTGGGTCCCAGCTCGGAACTTGTGATGGTTGAGCACGGTCAAAAGACGAGCTACTATTTCCTTGCCAATCTTCATTATCTTCCTTGTTCTTCAACCCGCAATCTAGTACACATATGGCTCTTCCACTCCTTACTTTTTGAACAGTGGCCTGAACTATTCTCCCCTCCCCTCAGTGATTGGTTCACATGATACTGTCTCTGCCAATCCTGGAGCATAACTCTCTTATGATAAGTTTCCTTCTTACTCTCCCGTTGCCTGCTCCCTAGATACTCATCAAGGACGACCTTCCTCAAAGAAGGGGATGTATTCTAGTGTCATCCAATACGTCAAAAGATTTTGTCGGCGGAGGGAAATGCAAGTTGAACTTTGAGTCTACATCATCAAGTTCTCTATCTGTTTCTGCCGCTTTAACAGACTTGACAAGTGATTCGAAGAGGATCCGATTTGCAGGTTGGGAACGTTTTGAATAGTATCCAAGTTGGTCTCAGGTTTCATGAGGTGGCATCATCAGTGTTGATTTCAAACAAGCTCATGCACTGCTCCTTCCGATACATAGCTAGTATAAACGGGATATCTAATTTCTGCACATGATGTACCACCAAAAAGTTTGCAAATTTGATCCTTTTCAGACAAGTGCATCCTCTCATAGCACCTCCAACAAGAAGTTTTCATGGGGTTTCTATGA